GAGAAGGAAAAAAATTGCATGACATACTTTTTAGGTTGAATATGCATTACTAACATTCTCTCCACTTCTTTTGTAAATCTAAGTGATCAGTATAACAATAAATCAAGCCCTAATTTATAGTGTTTGCTGATTTCTAATGTATAAATATTCTTACTAAAAATTTAACAATCAGCTCTCCAGAAAGCTGGCTCCAGCACACCCCCTGGATGACTTTTAATGAAAGAAATGAAGACTCTCATTTTACCTTGACTATTGGTTTACCTGTGTGACATTAAACAAATCATTTAATTTCTCTGGGCTTCAGTTTCTGCATCTTTAAAATTAGGGGATTAGGGAAGAGATGAACTGGATGATTTCTAAATCTCTTTCCCATTATAAAATTCTATGATTCAGAATATACAGTTTATCTGAATTAACTGACAACTCATGAAATGACAAGGTGAAGTGAGAGGATTGAGGAAGGTTAACAATGATATTGGCAGAAAGAAACCAACCTCCAGTTACCCTTTTACCTGAATGACTCACAAATTATACAGTCTACAAAATGATCAAGAATGGAATGTAGTCCTACCCTCCAAAAGGGGGGAGGGTTCGGTACAAGAGCAAAAGGATAGAACAAGGTAAAATTTGTTTAAATAGAAATAGGCATATCCAAATGGCAATGTGAAGAATTATTTCTTCACATAGAAGCCTTCAGTTCTCTGCATGTAGATGATCCACTTAGAGGTTTATCCACAGCAGATTTTGATTTGATTTTAATTTAAAACTCATCAGGCACCTTGAGTCAGCTTCCTCATGGAGTAACTGAAATACGGGGGAAGGAAAATGTGTTTTAATATTTGAGAAATCTAAAGACATCTGGGAAGGAAAAACTGCTGAAAAATGCATGATTCATTTCAAAGCAGCAAAATCTAGATTTCTAATACTCCGTTTTCAATTGGTTCCCTTAATGTGGGTCATAAGATCACAGAATTTAGAGCTGGAATGGATCTTATAACTCATGTCACCCAGCAGAAGCTGGATGTACCTAGGGGAGGTGTCGTAGCCAGCTTGAACCAGCTCACAAGAGAGGATTTTAAATTTGCAGTATAAGCAGTTATAGCTTAGAAATTAGAAAATGCTGAAAATCAGGAATTAACTTTTTTGTTGTCCATTGTACGGACTTAAAGTGATAGAGAAAATGTGAATGATACACATTAAACATAAATGTGTTTAATAGATGCATTTTGTTTTAGAGAGCCAGTTGTTAAACAATTACTAGCACACCACTGGATATACCCAAAAATTAGTTGGGTGAATGGAGAGTGACCTGGTAATAAATGACAAAACTAAAATGTTAAAAGTTGTTTGGCATTTGCTTTTTCAAGAATACATTTGAAAATCCCATCTGTTCAAAGTTTTAAAATGGACTCTAAGCAGATCATTAACCTATGGACACATAGGTTACTTAGCTGTCTGACTAGTTCATATCTGCAACTTAAAGAATCCTATTCAAAGCTGCTGTTGATGAATAATCTTGTCATTAATTCAAAAGGGGATCAGGAGAGACTCAAAGGGCCTTTGAAACTCTGGCGATTTTTCTCATATTTATTGATCCATAGGAGACACTGTGTCTGAGAAAATGTTATTAGCCATTTTCATTCACTAGTCATCTGCAGACTTAGGTTCTAAGAAGAAAAACAGTGTCCATAATTTAAAAGCACAGGATAGAAGTAGAGAAGGACCATAAATTATGGAGCAGGGAACTTCTGTCTCAGGGCAAACCATAGGAACCATTTTTCTTTTCTTCTGTTAGGCTGTTACTAAGTAAATCAGAGCTAGGAAGAAGATAAAGGCCATAATTTTCACTTACATAAATGTTTTCCTGGAGAGTGGAGGAGAGGGGTGGCTTGCCACTTATATGTTCATCATCAATACTTGTTGAATCCATAATTCAGGAATCATCTTTTGCCCCTGAAGCCTGAAATTTAAGTGGAATAGCATTTGTGAATTTCTGTCTGTGAAAGAAAGCAGCTGATGAAAAATGACTACTTGCTTAAACCACTATTTAAATTTGAAAGGTTGGAAAGAGGAGCAACCAAGATTAATGTTGGGCCAACTTATCTTCAATAATACCAAGGTCTTTAGGATGAAATCTTTTTTCCTTGATCAAAAGAAATGCATTTTCACACAGCCCTGGATTATTAATATGGTGTAGATCTTCTGTCTCTACTTTTTCAGGTACATGCTTTGTCCCGATAGAATGGGAGCTCCTTAAAGTCAAAAAGTATTTCATTTTTGTCCTTGTATTCCCAGCACCTAAAATAGTGCCTGGCATATAATAGGTACATAATAAATCCTTGGGACAGCTAGGTGGTGGAATGCATAGAGTGCCAGGCCTGGAGTCAGGAAGACTCATCTTCCTGAGTTCAAATCTGGCCTCAGACACTTACTGAAAATTACCAACAACGTCCTGTATGCTGGAAGTAGTGTAAAAGCATCATAGAAGATGTACAAGTTCAGAAAAAGGAAGTCAGTCAGTCACATTAAGAATGAGAGGTGAAACATATACAATTTAAATCCCCACTACATTGGTACTCTAAAAATTTTACGAGAATTATAAGAAAACCTCCAGTGAATAATAGGTCAATAACACATAGAAGTTATATTTAATAACGTGGATAAAAATCCTACTCTCTGTCCCACAAGATAAGAAAGTAGTGTGTGGTTACCATATGCATTAATGGAGAGACTGCTTATACTGATGAAAACAGATCCATCAATGTATCAAAATGAATTCCTGGCCCAAAGACCTGTCATTGATGGCACTGAATTTGTGGCAGACATTAATAATCCTCTCCCATGCTTCTCTTGAAAAACTTACACATTAAACCAAGGAGCCTTAAATTAAAGCTAAAAAAATGGTGATTCTCTCATGACAGATGTAGATTTTTTCCCCAAAAAAAAATAAAGAACACAGAAATGTGAAATGTGAAGCTGTACTCACTCCTTGGAAACACATTGCCCAGCAGTAGGATGAGACACCAAGAAAAAAGTGATGGAATAAAGTAAAGTTGTATTTGAAGCAAGCTACTCACCTACACTCCAGGGGATAACTTGGAGCAGAAAAATTCTATGAAAAGTGCCTGTCTAATAATGGTAATGAAATCAGTCTAACTTTTTGAGTTTCCTCTTGGAAACAGAATTTTAGTTTAACAATATCATATCCTGCTTTTCCTAACCTATTTCAGGATTTTGCCACTGGATTCCATGGGAATGTTCACAGTTATCAAAGAAAGAACCCCCACCTCAACATCTCCCCATCACAATAATATAGCAGGATCAATATACAATATATCTCTGCTTTCCCTCTTATTAAATAGAATCAAGAGAGAGACGGGGAAGAAAGGAGGAAGGGAGGGGGGAGAGAGAGAGAGAGAGAGAGAGAGAGAGAGAGAGAGAGAGAGAGAGAGAATGAGCAAGAACAAGAACATAATTCTTTACATTAGTTCTGTATTTTGTTCCAGGTTGTTACTTCAAAATATCTATGACTCAGAGACATGACTAGAGTGGGGCACTTGAGGCTTTGCTTTAGTATGCCAAATTTAGACCTTGTAGAGAGCGAAGTATTTGAGCTGGACCTTTAAAGATGGATAAGATTTTAATAGAGAAGAAAAGGTCAGGGTTTCCAAATATGAGGAATAACATGAACAAAGATTGTTGTGTGTGGTTTGTCCTTTGTTCTTGAAGAGGACCATGACTTCAGGGAGATGGTGACATGACTTGCAATTGACTTTGATTTGGGTAAGGTCTAGGTCCAGTGGCCAGATATTGATCATAGGACTGGAGACGTCCCAGCGTGAGCAAATGTGTGGATGCAGGAAAGTGTGACAATTGTATAAAAAGCATAAAGGACTATTTTGAATTTTGAAAGGGCTATTGACAACTTATTTTTTGACCTGTTGGTTAATCTGGACTTTTCAAATTAAAGAGGCAGGACAGGGGCCAGCAATGATCTGGTAAATTTACCTGAAGATCTGGAATCACAGACATTAGTCTGGACTGCTTTGTGGAGGTCATCTTACCTTAGTTTAAATTGACTGCCTTGCTTTTGTTTTATATTTATTTTGGACAGTTGTTGGTTTAGATAATACATTTCAGCATATGAATTGCCTTCTTTGCTTTAAAGGAGTAAAGAAGTTAGTAGTGAGTTTGACAATTATAACTTCCATGATTGATTATACCATTTGTCTCAAACACTTACCACCATGCTCCCTCCTTTATCGATTTTCCTTGTACCAACTACGGCTACACAGATTCCTATACCTCTCAGCCTGCTCTGAGGTTAACATCCTTCCAAATCTATCTTGCTTCTTTTGAAATTACTCCACTTGAATAAACTACATTCATTAACATTGCTGTTTGGGGAAAAAATATGAAAGATTGACATATATCTGCATGTCAAATTATGCTAATCAAGGCACCCGGGCTGCATCCCAAGGACATTTGTTTCTTATTTTCAGTGAAGGCAAAGGTACTAGCAGGTTATTGCTGATTTATGCAGGGGAAAGATCCCCTTTGTAATCAGATGTGGTGAGTGATGAGAGGTTGGGAAATCATCAAAGGGGACATCAAAGCTCTTTTTCATGGTGAAATTTCAATCCAGTTAAATAGTTTTCAATAAAGCTTATTGAATTTCTCCTCCCTTTGTACCTTTTGAAAAAGTTGACACAACCCTTTAGTTTTCTTTTTCAAAAGTGTTAACTTTATCAATTCAGTGGCTACATTTGCTACTCATTACATTAAATGTAACAGTTTTAATACAGATATGAAAAGAAAACTTTCAAATTTGAAAGTATGCTTTAAAGGGGGAGGGGAGAATTCTTTTGGTTCCAACTAATTCTCCTTGAGTAAATGAATGCTTCCTGATCCCTGCTTGCCCTGTCTTCTGCTATACCATCCGGCATGCACCCCACGGGCTCCGAAGACTGTATTAACACACCTGCAAATGTATCTTCTAGGTTTCCTCTACGCTCAGAGTGGTACCAAGCGCAGCATTAAAGAGCGGCTTTTGAAGCTCTTGCCCTGCTCGGCTGCCAAAACGGCATCTCCTGATATTCAAAGCAAGTTTTGTTTTGTTTTGTTTTTTGTCTGTCTGGTTGGTCTATTTATTTAGGTTTGCATGCGATGCAGTTTTCTGCTTTTGAAAAATAAATCAATACATTAACTTGCTTTATACAAGATACTGTTGATGTATCAGTTTTCAAGGGAAAACCCTAGGGATCATTTCTACTCTAAGGACACATCCCCAACCCACCCCCGCCTTTGGCAGATTTATGGTGAAATAGTGATAAGCTTGAGCCTGAGCTTCTGATGGCTAGGGTTAGGTATCCTTGGTTGGTGGAGGAGAGGTAAGGTCATGAAAGGAAACCTTGTGTTGCTTCTAGAATATGGAATTAGCTGCATTAACTGCAGGAACTCAGAATTATTATATTGCCATACTATCCATCTCTGAGCCTTATGGCTCACACGGTAAGACTCTTGGGCCTTCTGTCTCTCTATCTTTCTCCTCCCCAACTCCTGATTAGAATGCGAGGTCATTGAGAACAGAGGGGAGCCTCACTTTTCTTTTTGTGCCCTAAACTTAGCACAATACTTGGCACTTTTGTGTGTTGTTTCCCTCGGTTCTGTTAGAGTATAAGCTCCTTAAGGACAGAGACCATCTTTCTCTTATTTGTATCCCCAGTGCTTAGCACAGTGCCTGGCACATAGTAGGTGTTTAATAAATGTTTGAATTGAAATTTAATTCAATTAGCACATAGTAAGCATTAATACATATTTTTCATTCATTTTTTTTCTTGCTCTCAGTCTTGCTATCTACCTTTACTTTCTCTCCTCTCTCCCTATTTCCCTTGATCTCTATGCAGATGAGTCCCAAATACACATCTCTTTCCCTTGCTGCAATTCTGAATCATCAACTTCTGGTAGGATATCTGCACTAGGATGTCTGATAAACATCTCAAACTCAAGATGTCCCAAATAAAAGTCATTATCTCTGTCCATCCCTCTCCCCTAGAACCTACCCTTTTTCCTAATTACCTCCCTCCCCTAGAATCTACCCCTTTCCCTAACTCTCATCCCTCCTCCTTAGAATCTACCTCTTTCCTTAACTCCTACAATCTCTCCTAGAACCTATTCTTTTCCCTAATTTCTCTGTTTTTGTGAAGGTGGCACCATAGTCCCAGTCACTGAGTTTTGTGACCTCAGAATCATCCTAGAACTTTCAATTCAGTAAACATTTATTAATCACCTACTGTAGGCCAGGCACTATGCTATGCCAATCAATCACTCTTACCAACACTAATACCTCACACACCTTTTGTCAAATCTTATATTTCTACCTCCACTATTTCTCTTACATCTATCTACTTCTTTCTGCTCAGATGGGCACCACTCTAGTTCAGGCTCTCATCCCCTCACACTTGGACTATTACAATAATTTCTTAATTAATTTCCCTGAGTCTAGTCTGTCCCTTTCCCAGAAAGCTCCAAAGTTAATACTACTGAACTGCAGGTCTAACCATATCACTCCATTTCCTCAGGGAGCTTTATTCAGTGGCTCCCATTGTTTCTCGGATAAAACAGAAATGTCTTTGTTCAGCATTTAAAACCCTTCAAGATAGAATTCTAACCTCTCTTTCCAGTTTATGTCATATGACTCCCCTCCCCCACTCTTTATTCCAGTCTACCTGCCCTATTGTTATTCTCTATCAATGACATTCCATCCCCTGCCTCTAGTCATTTGCAAAGGTCAGAAAAGCCTCTTCCCCTCTGCACCTTACATTCCCTAAGTTTCCTTCCAAGCCCAGTTCACCTGCCACTGACATGAAGTTTTCCCTGATTTCCCCCAGTTGTTTGTATTCACTCCTCCATGTACATTTAAAATTACTCTATATTTACTCTAAATATGGTTACAAATGCTTGTGTGCATTGGTTTACCTCCAATATAATGTAAGGGATTATTTTATGTGTTGGTGTGCATTCCTAGCCCAGTGCCTAGTACATAATAAGCATTTAACAAACCTTTATTGAATTGAACTCATAGAATTGTTTGTGTACTTGCTATCCAGCAAAAAAAAATACTTGCTAGTTTAGAAAGTATCCCTTAGTAAAATTGTGTGGTTGTGGTTTGTCCTTAGTTCTCAGAGAGGACCAAGGCATCAGGGACATGATGACAGGATTTGCATTGAATTGGATTTGAGGGAGAGAGGGCTGTGCAAAGTCACCAGCCTCACTTTCTTCTCCAGAGCCATATAGGTCCTGTGGCCAGATACAGATCAGGATGACTGGAGAAGGCCCAGGATGCAGTGGGAGACCTTGGCCTTTTTAAGCTAAGGTCTTTCTGAGTTCTCACTTTGAGTGAGGCATTGCCCATTCAGTGAATAGGCCTGTGGAAGAAGTGAGTCTAGGGATGGCCCTTTTAATTCAAAAAAAAAATCAAACTGGGATAGGAAGACCCTCAGACTTGCTAAATGACAGAGTAATAATACAACAGTTGGTTGCTAAAATACACAATTTTTCACCCTTGCCATTCTCTTTTTTCATTAACATTATCTTAAGAATGACAAAATAAGAAGATGCAACTATAGATTTTTTTTTAATGGAAGAGTTGAAGAAAACAAAATTTCTTCCTTCATTTGGTAGACCCATTTAAAAAAAATTGGGGGGTGGGGTTTTGAGGGTCCAGTACTATGACTTCATCCATGTGGGGAACTCTCAGTGTGGAAACTCCTTCCATCTATACAAACTGCCAGTTCATCTATAACTTATAGTCATAGAGCTACTTTTAGGATGTTGAGAGTTTAATTAACTTTCCCTTGGGTGCATAATTAGCATATTTCAGGACTAGAAGGAGGACTACTATGAGCCAGGTATTTTCAATGTCCTGCCCTCTATATATACACCACGATGTTCCCAAGCAGAACTGATAACTGATTTGAAAGCTTGAATGTTCTCCAGTTTCTCCATTCAGTAGTCAAAAAAATTAAAATATTTGGGGAGAGGTCAAAAGGCATATCAAAGCTATAAATTAAAAACTCTAAATGAAGACCTGAAAGTTATGTGGAGATAAATTACATTCAGCAATTGGATGGTGAAACACAATAGGCAGGAAATATAAATACAACTTAAATCATGGTTACATGTCAGAGAAAAAAGATCCCATCTAGAGAAAAATTATAAACCATTTCCCCCCCTTAAAAACACAAATGAACAACAACAAAAGGGTTTAGCTGCTTGTGTTTTTCTGTTGGGTAATAAAATCAAGGCATCCTCCCTAACCAATCCTGCAGTCAAAGGCATTTATTTTCATTGTTGTTCAACACTTTGTTCATGACCTCTGACTTGTGGGAGTATAATTTTCTTCTTTTTCTAGTCTTCAGTGAAGTTAATAGCCAACTGGGCCATTAGGGACATTTGCCAAGAAAGGTAGTAAGTCACCTATACAAAGCAGTCACATAATCACATTAGATATCACTGTCCAGTGATTTTGTGACTACTTAAGGTGTTGTCCATCCTAACCCCCCACCCCCTTTTACCTTGTTAGTGTCTGGATTTGGAGTCAAGGATTTGAACCTTGGATGTGCCAATTATTCTAGCTAAAAGATTTGGGGCAAATCACTTCCCCTAATTGATGATGACACTCATTGCCTCTACTTCACAGGATTCCTATAAGGAAAGTATTTTGCAAACCATAAAATTATAGGTAAATATGAATTGATACTGATATCATTGCATTTCCATATTAAATATATTGACTAGAAATCAAGACATATGAAGATGAGTTGAAGGAGCTGGGAATGTTCACCCTTGAGAGGAAAAGACTTGGTGGGGGGAGGGGAAGGCAGAATTGTGGATTTCAAGTGTTTGAAGAACTGTTTCAGTGGAAGAGGAATTGGAGTTCTTTGCTTGGTAGATTGATAGGCAAAATGATAGAGTTAGCACTGTTGTGAGGAAAAACTTCCTGATATGATGATGATGACGATACCATTAGCTTCAATCCTTGGAATTTAAGACTATGTCAACAGATAGACCACATTACCACGAAAGCTCAGTAATCATCATCACCACATTAATAGGGATGCGTTTATTAAACAAAAGGCAAATACTTTTTGGTAGAAAAGATAAGGAACTATGGGATGATGGCTAGAAAGGCAGATCAAGGCAGGTTACCACAGAAGGGTGGCCCAGGATATAATAGATAATAACAACAGCCTGCTTTTACATACAACTTTGCAAGGAAGGAAGTATAAATGTTATTCTCTCCATTTTATAGATGGTGAAACAGAGTAAGATAGTTGTCCAATGTCACATGACCTCCAAGGTCCACATCCCTCCTGATTCTGTGTCTGATTTACTTTTGCCTTGTGCTTATGTGCCCTGGGATATGAACTTAGTTTTCTTGATTCTGAATCCCACCCAGTGCCCACTGCACCATACACCCACGTGGCCAGTGCACCATAGAGAACAACAGGGCAAAGCAGGGGCGGACTGGAATAAGGTAGCATGCTTTTTTTTCTTTATTCAGTATATTGCTGCTGATCCCTATAAGTGCCCAGGTAGGGTTTTTGAGGGGCAGCAAAGTAGTTGAGGAAATGTCCTCTATCATCAGCCATGGAGGCCAATCAATAGCTACAAAAATGGTTTTCACCATTAGCCAAAAGCCTAAGCAAAAAATTCAGTTGAAGAAGACCAGTTTCAAATTCCACTGTTTCCTATATCCAAATAATGTTTTCTTTGTTCCTTTCTCATAACAAGAATTTTAGATTAATTGACATTCATCTCTCTATTGTATAGATGACTAAACTGAGACCTAAGAGATTTATTACTTATGCATGCTGAGTAAATTAAAAATAATAATTCCTGCGGTCAGGCTTAAATAATAGCTGAGCAATGCAAAAACATTTGCAGAATCTGGATTCTAGGAAGGACATTAGGGATCATTTTGTCTAACTTCCTGTCTCCTGCAGGAATTCTTTCAACATCGTCTTTTAGGTGATAATCTAACTTCTACTTGGATATTTCTAGTGTTAAGAAATTCACTACTTATACATACAACTGCCTA